TTTTTTTTTTTTAGTAGAGACAGATGGAGTCTCACTCTTGCTCAGGCTGGTCTCCTAGACCAGGAGATCAACGGATCCTTCCACCTCAGCCTCCTGGGACTACAGCCATGAGTCACTTCACCTGACTGCTGACCACAGGTGTTTTTAATGTGAGCTCCAAGCAGGCAAGTGTGCCGAGTCCATGATAACTGAGGGGCATATGGGGGTTGGGGCAAAAGGCTCCTTGAGCATTGCATGTCCCTAGGGAAGGGGATGGCTAGATGTAAGGGGCTGATTTCCACTCCCAGCCACCTGCACCCATGCTTGCTTTCTTTTTTTTTCTTTCTTTTTTTTGAGATCGTTTCACTATGTCGCCCTCAGTTGAGTGCTATGGCGTCACAGCTCACAGCAACCTCAAACTCTTGGGCTTAAGTGATTTTCTTGCCTCAGCCTCCCAAGTAGCTGGGACTACAGGGGCCTGCCACATCACCCGGCTATTTTTTGCTGTAGTTGTCATTGTTGTTTAGTAGGCCTGGGCTTGGTTCAAATCCGCCAGCCCTGGTGTATGTGGCTGGAGCCCTAACCACTGAGCTATGGGCACTGAGCCAGCACCGATGCTTTCGCTGCAAACACCCTCCTAAGCCAGGAAGCATTTAGTCCAGGGAGGCCCAGGGGAGCCCAGCTTCCCACTGCTGACCTGCTGACCAATAGACAGCCCAGCTGCCCAGCTGCCTGTGACCCAAGGTCCCATCGGGAAGGGCCTAGAAATTTATTGCCACCTAAGTGTCTGCTTTACTGTTTCAGATGCTGGCAGAGAGGGACACAGAAGACCATCCCAGAACAAGCCCAGAAGTCCATGCTGCCCAGCTGCCTCTGACGTGTCCTCTTCAGGTGGACCCGCTAGATCTAATCATGGTGCTTTTGGAAGGGCCAAACCAACCAGGTTCATATTGGTATGGGACTCAACTGTCAGCAACAAAAACAAGACAACTCTTCTCTAGAAAGAACGAAGTCTACTTTGAGCTGAGATTTTTTTTTAATATGCATGTTTTCACTCTCCTGCAGCTTTTAAGCCGAAGTCTTAAGCTTTTGTCCCCTTCATCCTGCCCCAGCATACCCAGCAAAGTGTCCCATGTAAAATGGGTCTCCAGCAGAGTCCTGCAAAACTCTGGGGGTGGTTCCGGTGTCCCCGGTATTACAGTGAACAAGGCACAGCCACGTGGGTGTGGCAACCAGAGGTCACCAGAGCCGCCTTCTTCCTTTGGACTGCAGGGAGCATCAATTCGCTCTGCGTCTAACATTTGTAGAAAAAAGAAATAATGTTGCAGTCCTAACCAATAGGCACAGATTGAAACAATGAACAAGCTGGCGGCCAACCAGTGAGTCATCCCACAGACTCTGCCCAGCAGCCTCCAGAAGGAGCCGCCAGGGTGCAGGGGCTTGACTATTGAAGGCAGAGATTCCAGGGGATAGCTGAGGAGTAGACTAGACATCAGGATGGCTGTCATTATTCAGCAGCCCCTCAGGGAACAAAACAAAGTTGTAAACAAACTGACTGCTTTACATCACATCACTCGTGCGGGACTCACTTCTCTACAGGTTCAAGCTGAGGAAACCCGAGGCAGCGACAAGGGGGGCTTAGACCAGAATCACATTTTTAAATCAAGAGCAACCAACATTTTTGTTCAAGATTAGCCTGCGCAAGAGCGAGACCCTTTCTCTACTAAAAATAGGAAAACTAGCAGGGCATAGTGACAGGAGCCTATAGTCTCAGCTACTTGGGAGGCTAGGGCAGGAGGATTGCTTGAATCCAGGAGTTTGAGGTTGTTGTGAACTATGATGCCACTGCTCTCTATCTAGGTGACAGAGCAAGATTCTGTCTCAAAAAAAAAAAAGCCTAACATTTTTGATGTTGAGATACCATAAATTATATAATGTGAACAAAATCATTGCTGAGTGGAAAAGGGCAAAAAACTTTCTAAGCCAGAATAAAAACAGAGGACTTGCCCGCCCTGGATGAGGACAGGGCAGCCTCAAATGTCCCAGAGCTGCTGGGGAGCAGTCCTCCTCTTCTTCCAATAAGTACAGCATAAAGATTGAAATTCAAAATGAGGTGCCCTTTCCGATCCTAACACCTACCCAGAGGATCACCCGGCCTCTTACAGAACTGACCATTGCCTTGGTAGCTGAGCCTCCATGATCCAAGATATTTTAACTGTAGTGACAAAAGTTGTCACATTTTTAAGTTTCAGGTTAACATACACAGCTTACAACATACCTTCACGGTAGTAAATTACAGGAGAAAGTGAGGGGAAACCCCTGTCACGTTCCCCTACGAGTGGCTGCCCCAGGAGGCAGCACCAGAGCGCTTCTTCCATCAAGCTTTCAAAAAAAATAAAAGCTTTGCTATCTAGCAGACAAAGACAATTACACATATGGACTTTTTCTATCAAAATCATTTTAGATTAGAGAGGTGGCTCAGAGGACGCTTGTACGCTCCTCACACAGTTTCCCTGCTGCCAACATTTCTGAAAACTGAGAAATCAACACTGGTGCGAGCTGCTAACTGGACTACAGATTTCATTCAGATTTCCTGGTTTTCCCAGCCATGCCTGGATAGAAAATCTTTTCTAGACGCTTTCAATTTTGACCACCCACTGGGCCAGAGCTTCCTCTTGGTGAGAAGAGGAGAATTTGGGTCTATTTCACATCAGTAAATAAGCTCTATGCAGAAGGGATGTGATGCCCAGGTTAAAGGAAATCAATGAGCAAACTCTGGGTGCTCAGCACTAATACAGGAATTACTCTGACGGCAGGCTAGGGAAGTCCTTAAAGTGTCAGTGTTTGTACCACATTCTCAATGCTGCCTCATTTTTCTCTTTTCTAATTTTGGATTTGCATTTCAAGTCATATATAACATTTTATATGGTTCCTCATTTTCCGGCTGGAACCATGGAGGGTGTCGAAGAGAAGAAAAAGAAGTTCCTGCTGTGCCAGAAACCCTTAAGAAAAAGGAAAGAATTTCGCAGAGCTGAAGATCAAGCATCTGAGAAAGAAGTGTGCCCAAAAGATGCTTCGAAAGGCAAGGAGGAAGCTTATCTATGAAAAAGCCAAGCATTATCATAAAGAATGCAGGCAGATGTACAGAACTGAGATTCGGATGGCTGGGATGGCAGGAAAAGCCGGCAACTTCTATGTACCTGCACAACCCAAACTGGCATTTGTCATCAGGATCAGAGGGATCAAAGGTGTGAGTCCAAAGGTCCGAAAGGTGTTGCAGCTTCTTTGCCTTCGCCAGATCTTCAGTGGAACTTTTGTTAAGCTCAACAAGGCTTCCATTAACATGCTGAGGATTGCAGAACCATATATTGCATGGGGGCACCCAGATCTGAAGTCAGTAAATGAGCTAATCTACAAGCGTGGTTATGGCAAAATCAATAAGAAACGAATTGCATTGACTGATAACAGTTTGATTACACGGTCTCTTGGTAAATATGGTATCATCTGCATGGAGGATCTGATTCATGAGATCTGTACTGTTGGAAAACGCTTCAAAGCAGCAAATAACTTCTTGTGGCCCTTCAAGTTATCATCTCCACGGGGGGGAAATGAAGAAAAAGACAACCCACTTTGTAGAAGGTGGAGATGCTGGTAACAGGGGAGACAAAATCAATAGGCTTATTAGAAGAATGAACTAAGGTATCTGCCCTGATTGTTTTTGTAATCTGGTCAGTTAATAAACAATGACTGCTTTCAAATTGAAAAAAAATTTTATATGGACAAAATTAACACCTATCCCTGTCTTGGTGCCCATAGCTCAGTGTTCAGGGCACCAGCCAAATACACTGGGGCTGGCAGATTCAAACCCAGCCCAGGCCTGCTAAAACAACAATGATAACAACAACAACAACAACAAAAATAGCCGGGTGTTGTGGCAACCTCATGTAGTCCCAGCTACTTGGGAGGCTGAGGCAAGAGAATCGCTTAAGCCCGAGTTGGAGGTTGCTGTGAGCTGTGAGCACTCTACCCAGGGCAACAGCTTGAGACTCTGTTAAAAGAAAACAGGAGAAAAGAAATCCTTGTTGGCTTATTAATGAAGGGTGGAGTCAACTAGAGTCATGTGACCCAGACTCTGTAATAAAAGGGGTCCCAGTAGGCTAGATAACCCACACCACACATTAAACCACGGAAAGAGAAACTCCTGGGTTGTCTCTACTCCCATTTCTCAGTCACTTGGGAGCTTGAGCAAGTGTTATTTTTTATTCTGCCAAGCTTTCGCTTACTTAAAAATATGTCATGAGGCAAATCCTATGCTGTGTCTCCTGTAGTTTATCTTATAATTACTTTCTGGGATTAAAATCTCTCTGTCGAGCTGTCTTTGTGTCTGTGAAATATTTATGTTGTGCATCACGTGTCTAAGGGAGCACAGAGTTTGATTTCTGTTGGCAATTTTTACTCTAGTTACCAGTGACTCTCAGACTGACAGTGCCAGGGCCTGTGTCAGCCTGGAGATACCAGTCAGAGGACAAAG